CTGTGAAACTGTGGCAGCCCTTTGGTGAAAGATGACCATGGGATCTGCGGGGGCGGGTTGATGGGGGTCTCCGCACCTGAACCTGGCGAACACGACTGAGACATGGGGATGAAATCCGATTGAGATGGGTAGGCAAGAGGTCAGTCGCCATGGGGCAAGAGGCATATGTAGCGTCGCCGGGCGACTCCAGTCGGAATGCTGTGTTCTCCGGATGCATTGTTGTCCTTGCGACGAGAACAAATCAAAGACAAAAAAGGTCGTTCACAATGAAAGATTTACGACATCCGTCGCGTGCATCTGTCAATGCAGACGGGCGCGTGGGATCCGGATGAACGCCACCGGTAGAACAACAGCAAGACGTGCGCATTTGGGAAAATTATTGCCGCGTTGTTTGTTCAAGTGGGTCCATATGTACCTGGCCCAGTTCGATTTCGGCATCCGCCGCTCGTCTGCCAGAAGGTCTTTTCGTAAGTCAAATCCATTACAGCTCGAGCTCTTTGCATTTCGTGTCACAGGCTAGGCTTCTAAGGTCGAATTTCCAGAAAATCCCCGCTGAAAACGCGGTAGACTGACGCAAATCTTAAGACAAAACCGTAAGCAAAGTGCTGGCGGTAAAACATACCGAATATACGTCCTTCAGAAGGAGATTTGAGCACAATTTTCGATCAAAAATGCTCGGGATGAGTTTCGAACTCATGACCTCAGGATTACCGTTCAGTGTCTGAACGTCATACTAACGTATGAGACCTGCGCTCTAACCAACTGAGCCACCCAAGCACATCAATCCATAATGAGGGCCGAAATTCCAGCCGACAGAAGTATTTCTATTCCGACACAAACCAGCAAGACGAATTCGGATAGCTCTCAGGTCCTTCAGCACAGGTAAACAACCAAACCACTGCATGTTCTTGCATTATGCATCAGGCTCTTTTTCCCGCGGACAATGAAAGGAACAAAGAAACAGGGAAACAGGGAGCGAGCGCCTCGTGCTTCCCTTTCGGGTTCCAAGGCCCGGATAGGCTCTGAATTGGTACTACAGCATACACAATCCTTGATTGAACATACAATTGAGCACAAGATACGATCTCTGCAGGAGCTCAAAAAATCCGCTACGAGTTCAACTCTTAGTGATGAGCGCGGCTCTGATCTCAAACGCTTTTTTCACAGATTCCCTGTTCGCCAGTTCAGCGTTCCACCTGATACGCGAAGTCATAGTCGTCAGCCGGTTCAGATCTAACAGCAGCGACGGATAATACCTGTGCAATGCTGGAAATTCCTTCTCGACGTCCAGTTGGTATCTCTCATGAAAGACCTTCACAGCCATCACATTCCATCTACACGACATGCAAGTCAGCCTCACAGTGAAATGTGACATAGAAAGCTACGCACGGGACGAATACGAGGTCCGCAATGGTGCACTTATCGCCTACCAACCACTTCTGTTTGGCTAGCACGCCGTCGAGCACGCCAAATACGCGAACGGCCTCTTTGTAGTACCTCTCTATGGCACTGGGGAGCTTCTCGGGATGGTACATGGTGAACCATGAGAATTGTCCGAAGTACGGGCTGTGGAGGGGTACATCAGCACCACGCCGTGTTCAATATGTAAGACTCATCGGCGTACGCTTGTCCGGATGCCTGGAAGAAGAGCCACTGTAACTCAAGAGCTTTTTCCGTCTCGCCCGCGGCAGATATAGTGTTAGCCGTGTCATATTTCTGGACGAGGTAAAGGATGATTGCATTTGATTCCCTGTATGCAGATTGGGCTTATCAGGTTTCCTATAGGGGGCTGTGCTGCCAATAAACTTACCACACGACGAAATCGTTGTTGGAATGGTCAATCAGAGCTGGAATGCGGCCATTCGGGTTGAACTTCGTGAACTCCGGAGCCTTTTGCTCGCCCTTCTCAAAACTAAGATAGACTGTCTCGTAACTCAGCTTGAGCTCCTCCAGGACAAGCACCACCTTCCTGCAATCAATTTCAAAGCAGGATCAATAGCATTCTCTGCTCGGCATAACATTGGACCCACCAGCCATTTGGGCCGCGATCGTGAGAGTAGAGAGTGAATTGTTTTCCGTTGGACATGGATTGTGAACCAAGAGTTTGACAAGATACGGGTTCGTTTCTGCTGCTACTGCTCACAGCGTGTCCACTCCTTTTTATATTCCATCGTCCTCGGCGCCAAACTGCGTATCCTGCGCGCAGCAGCGACGTCAGTTGGATCTCTGATGGGGATGAGTCAATGTGAGTCATCACAGTTCCCGCACCATACGTACGCCTTGATATTTATCTGTCTCCTTCTCAGACTTTCTTCGCAAGTGTCGGAGATAGTTAACTGCTGCTACAGGGACGATGCGATCCCTAAAACGGATAACAAGAAGCTTGTCGTTCTGCGCCACGATGCCAGGCATACCAGACACGCTTCAATACTATGCGATACTGCGAGCTGCATGACTGCAAGAACAGTACCTCCACGTACACCTAGTCCATCAAATTGAGCTTACTCACCTGCGCTTGAACGTTGAGGTGCCCTGGTGCCGTGATAACGCGTCGTCAATGCGACCCCGACTTTCTCGGATTCCGAGAATTTCGGGCTGATTCAGCGGATCGCGGAGGCATTAGGCCAAAGAATTGAAATACTTTCATCCCGTTCCCGCTCCCTCTACAGGCACGGATTTACTGCAACTCGCCGCGACAGATTGATCAGGTGTAGGATACGTGCCACACTGACTGGATTTTTACCGCACCTTTCTTGGATTTCACAGTCGAGTCCAAATTTCACACCAATGTCAGAGAGTGGAAGACCAGTCTTAAAGGTGTAGGATTGCTATTCTTATGGATCTTATTGTCAGTAACCACAAGCCGATGTCGATGGCCTGACACGGCAAACTATATCAATATGGCCAGCCATTGTGGTACCACCGCCAATCACTTGAGCCCAAGCACCACTCGGCCTGTCCTTGTTAACCTAGTTGGCGCGCCAGCTTTTCGAAATTATCCGTGGTTGGGAGGAGTGTGCGTTCTAGGTTATAATTCGTCAACATTGATATTACGAAGGGTATATGCGTCGCAAAAAAGCGCGCCGGAAAGATCCGGTGTGTGGATAGATGCTCGCCACACTGCTGCGTTTTGATTTCCAACCCCTCAGACATATTTTGCAGTCACTCCCATTGAACTAAGCCATCGCAGCGATTCCACATACATCCGATGAGCTGTAGTTATAGGGTAGTGATGAAGAACAGCCTTACATTGTGTCAAACGTCTCCTGCAGTTCAATCGACTCATCACGCACTTAGCCATTGAGTACATCAGTTTGTCTGTGTATGAACTCATGCCCATTCATATATTTTACTAGGGGGCATAACTACAGCGCGGTGGTGTGGTGGTGATTCCTCTTGTCCTTACGACACAAAATTGATTGTTCGCTGGCGGAAAGAGACACAAGGATAGCCTCAGGGCCGTCGTGTGGTAAGCACAATTAGACGGAATCGCTTGTTTCGAATGATAGCCACAGGCATGCACGGCCTTGCCCACATCGCGCTCGGGCCAAATTTTGCCACGCATTTTGTTCACTCCACGAAATAAAGCGTGCCTCCGCCGTATAAATACGAGCATGGATTTTAAGCGTCCTTAGATTCACCCTTCTACACCCATCACAGACATCGTCTCGTCTCATTGCAACGTCGATGACGCCGCCATCATCTTACCCTGTCAGCGTTCCATCTCTCTCTGACTCAATCGTCGCTCTCTGGTACTCATGCATGAATCCCGCCTCTGGAAACTGCTGGCGACAGGTGTGTAAGTTTACTCTCTGAGCGTTCGTTCTTCGATTGATGCTTTGTGATCGTATAGGTTCCACGTTGAAGGTCTTGATGAGCTTGCCATTCCCAGTGCTGTTGATACGAGTGCAGGTGGGCATGGACTGGCTTCCCGTCAGGCCGGACCTTCAGCATCCGATAAGAGATGTGGGGAGTGTGTCTTCCTTCCCAGCCCGCCACCGCAGATCCCATGGTCATCTTTCACCAAAGGGCTGCCACAGTTCCACAG